AAAGAGGATTTCAACTCATAAAAATTTATCGGCCATGCAATATACCAAACGTTGGAGCTAAGAGAGGTCAATATATTCTACTTGGTTCAAGTCCAGTGCCACATATTTAAGTTATATTTTCTTTCCTTATAGCTGAAATATAAAGTATTTTTCTCCATTTTAGAATGGAGACAACTAAAACAGTATAGCAGAAATTTAATTATTTGTAGCAAAAGGAAAAAGAAGAAATTTTAGTACTTATTTTTTAAACATAAATTTGTGCGTAATTATCTTCATTTTGATACGTTGTTTTCTATTTAGGGACTGTTAGTTAAATATCTTCATTTTTATGCGTAATTAATCTGACAGAATATATTGTATTGAAGAGAGACACGCTAATGCTATTTGCTTGCTAATTAGGGGGTGTGAAAAATAATCGGAACATCAGAACTGTTGAAAAACCGGTTTACCACTTCAAAAGCCCACTTTATCGAACCAATACTGACCCAAACCATTACGTTAAATACCCAAACTATTCCCAAATTGCAAAAACCGCTTTCGGCAACGTCACTGCTTCTTCCACCCTCAGCCGCCGCCACTTGCATCACCACCATCGTATCGTTTCAATTCGGGTTCCAGTAATTTCAAGTAAGTGGATTTAATGGATTATATGTTGAATGCTTATTTTTGCTTAATCGTTTCAATTTGGTTGTGAGAGCTGAAAAATAAACCAATCGCATCGTATTATTTTCGTGAAACCCTAATTGCTAGGATAGCACAAATTTCCGCAATTTCACTCTGTTTCATGGCTGCAATTTCATTAATTTGGAGTTAATTCTGTTTTAGGTATGGAAGTAATTTGTATTCCTTATGTAGATACTCTTTTTTGTGTACTTGAAATGTTGGTTTCTGTTTTGTGACTAGTGTTTGGATATGTATCCCAGTTAATAACCATGCTTCTCCGAAAATCCACGAGACTTTTACTGCTTAATGCTATTGGAAACAATGCATATTTCTTTCTCTTGAACAAGTAATTGAAACTGATTTTTCTAATCATGTTGGGTATTCTATTAAATGCACTTTTTAAATTTTTGTTGTTGTAGGTGCCTGTATGTAATTTACTTTAATTTTTAATATATCATATATGAAGGCTTTTAAGAAATGTTGTATAACCATGTTGTGTTCTGTAATGAAGGTGTTTATTCTGTTGTCATTGAAGAGGGCAGACTGAAGATGAGTACTCTGAGCAAGCAAAACAAAAGATCGGAAGACAGAGAGGGTGAAACCATTAGAGGTGATTCAACAATGTTTGAAAGCGATGTTGTTGATCCGCCTTTGGCCATAAGTAACGATGATCAACATTTGGTCAAAAGGAATATAGGTGAAGGTGGCGAGCAGGGAAAGAAGAAAAAACGTAGTGAAGAAAGAAAGCACGATGAGTGTAACCAGTTCAAAAGGGATGAATGTGAAGATGGTGATGACAGAAAGAAGATGAAAAAGAAGCAGAGGCTAATTGAAAGAGACACACTTAAGGATTGTAATGATTTTATAAGCAATGAAGGGGGAGATGGAGAGGAAGGCAAGAGGTTGAAGAAAAAGAAAAAGAAACTGAGTGAAGAAAGCAAACAAAGTGATTATAAGGAGGTCAAAAGCAATGAATGTGAAGATGATGAGCAAGGAAAGAAGATGAAAAAGAAGAAGAAACTAATTGAAGGAAACACACTTAATGAGCGCAATGACTTTAGCAGCAATGAAGGTGAAGATGGAGAGCAGGCAAAGAAGATAAAGAAAAAGAAGAAGAAACGGAGTGAAGAAAGCGAACATAAGGATTATAACAAGGACAAATGCAATGAATGTGAAGATGATGACCATGAAAAGAAAGTGAAAAAGAAGAAGAAACTAATTGAGGGAGGCAGACTTGAGGAGTGTAATGATGTTATAAGCAATGGAGATGGTGACCAAGGAAAGGCGAAAAAGAAAAAGAATAAACCAAGTCCTAAAATAAAAAGTAAGAATGACAATGATTTTAATAACAATCAAGGTGAAGTTAATGATCAAGGCAAAAAGATGAAGAAGAAAAAGGAAGCAAAGGCAGTTACAAATGAATCTCCTAACTCTGCATCTAAACCCAAACGGGTAACTTTTTCTGATCATGTGGAGGAGTTTTGCTGTGATGGCTTAGTGCGTGGGAAACGGTTTACACCCGAAGAAGATGAGAAAATCAAAGCAGCTGTTTCATGACTATATAAATTCTCATGGTTTGGGAGATGAAGGTGTAGAAATGGTTCTTCGACCCCGTTATTATCCTTTGGCTAGAGGGCTGTTGGAAGATAATTGCACAAGCCCTACCTCATAGGCCTGCCTATAGTGTGTATAATCGCGGTCATGTTTTGTTTGAAAACAATGTGGAGTTTCATTGGACACCTGATGAGCGTGAATTTGTACGGAAGGCCTACGAGCAACATGGACCTGATTCGAGGGCAGTAGCTGATGCTTTGGGTAAAAGTCGAGATCAGGTGAAAGATTTGTGGCGCAGAATAAAGTATACTGAGTTAAAAAGAGGAGCTTGGTCCCAAGATGAGTATCAAACTTTATTTAATTTAGTAAACCAAGATCTCCGTGTTAGGGCTTTAGAACCTTATAGAAAATCCCAACATGGTATGTTGCGAGATAATATTTCTTGGGAGGCAATTAGTCACAAGTTGAAAACCCGAGACAGTGCAATTTGCTGTTTGAAGTGGTATAACAAGTTAGTATCGCCGATGATTGCTAATGGTGAATGGATGGATTCCGATGACTTCCGCTTGATAGGTGCTTTATATGCTTTGGATGCTTGCTGCATGGAAGAGGTAGACTGGGACAATCTAATTGAGCATAGGTCTGGTGATGTATGCAGACAACGATGGGATCAAATGGTCCAACATATTGGCAAACGTGCAGGGAAGTCATTTATTGAGCAGGTTGAAATTCTTGCGAAGAGATTTTGTCCAGACTTATTGGAAGCAAGAGAGGCTTTTGAGAACAAACCTGTGATTTGTTGAGGTTTCTAACCTCTACCATGGTTTACCTTGTGAAATAATTTTGTTAAACCAGAATGTAATATGCTATAATGCGCAGTGTGTTTTTTGTGGGATCATCGATGTTTTTCTGCTGTATTTCAGAAAATAGACTTAGTATCGGATTTTGTGGGTGATAGTAATGCTTTCTTCTAGTTAAAATTTAACCCTTGCTGTTGCTATTTGATGTAAGTTAAACTTTATTTGTAAGTGTTTGTTTTGATTAAAATAATAGTTTGATATTAGCTTTTACCGCCAGTTGTTAATAGCCTGTTACTCTGTTAGTCATAATTATATTCATTTTTATACGTAAGTCATAATTATATTCATTTTTATACGTAAGTCATAATTATATTCATTTTTATATGAATGCTGGAAGTCACATACATATATTATAGATGCTGTGCATGTTGTATGCTATCTCAATGTTTTGTGCATTTGTTTCACTGTAAAGAGGATGTTCATGTTACTAGTTATAACACTAATTGCAAATGTATCTTGTCCTTGTCTGTTGCAGTTTGTCTTTCACGAGTGGAGTAATGTTTTGAGACACTTACATTGTAATGCTCCCAGTTAACTATTTTGCATTAAAGATGCCTCATATTAAGATTCTGATCTGGTTCATTTCATAATTTTTAGCTTTAATTACATATATTGACTTGTATGCTTTGTTAATTTATTTAAGAGGAATAAACAAAACAAAAAATTATAGAAAAACATTGCATTAGCATCTGATATTCTGGTGTGTTTCTGATGCAACTCCGAAATTGGAAATATAGTTTGAAGCTTCGTTTCCAAATCAGTTAGAAACGAGATTATCCCTATATCTACTATTCTACTTTAGTGTATTGAGGTTGGCCGCTCCCCGCGCCTATCCTGTTAAGACTGGTTTCGATATGAAAAATGTCGGTGTTAGAAACTGGTTCTGATATGAATAAACACCGGGAAATGCTACTCTTTAAGAGTTACATACAATACAAGACAGTACTCTAACTGTCACAAACAACCCCTAGGAATTAGAGAGCCTATTGTCGCCCAACCCAGCCAACATACAGAATACCCAATCCCCTCCCTTTTCCTTTCAGCCTATATTTATAACTATTAACTTTTTTCAGCAGTTTTTGACTTCCTGCAGATGTTACTGCAAATTCAACATTTAACAATAATAAAATAATTTGCCTACTAGTAAAACATAATTTCTGTTGCAGCATTAACTTGATTTATATGCTTCTTTCTGACATAAGTCCTAGAAATAAGAGGCCTTTTACTAACACATCCATTGTTAGTTTGTGTTTAAAACAATTAAATTTTATTGCAATTGTTGAGTTATTGTGATGTGAAGTCATGTGGTTAGGACTTAGAAACTTGCTTTGTCTATTACTAGCAATAGCAACCAAATTACGAGTCCTTGGCTTTTTTTCTTTTTTCATTGAAACTGAATGTTATGAACAATGACACCCCTTTAATTTCTGGAAGCAAGTTTTAGCTATTATCTGAACTGGACTTTAAGATAAACTTAGCTTTTGAGTTATTATGTCTATAAAATTGAGCATATGTATTCTACTGAGTTTCTCAGCTGGTTTTGGGATGATCAAGAATTATTATCACCTATATGATATACCGATGAATCATACAAAGACATCTTTTAACCCGTATGTGTATTAAAGATGTTTTTACATGTTTGGTTTTTCTTGTTTCTACATTTGTTCTGTGTGGCTTGTTATATTGATGATGGAGCATGGGTTTGATAATTGTTAATGACGAGGGACTAGTTATTATGGTAACAAAAGTCATGTTTGTCTCTCTTCATTTATGCTATTTGTTTATGACATTTTGTTCTTTTTTCTCTTCGAGGTATCTTTTCTCGTACATGATGAATGTGTTGTTGGGTTTGTGATGAATGTATCAACTAATAAGTAGCAATTATTTGATTATGCTGCTAAACTAGAGTTTGAAGTGTCACTGTTGTTACTACTGAAGAACAATTATTTTAATCATTATTGTTTCTATGGTCTATTTATCTAATAAACCCCACCACTTCAACGTGTACATAATATAGCCATTAAACTAGAAATTTGAGATAAGCAAGCTGTGCTAATTTACTCATAACTTTTTTTTTGGTTACGTTTATGAAGTTAAAATGTGTGTGATTGTAGATTTTCTCCAACTACAATTTTTTCCCTTAATGACAGTGGCTTTGAAGAACTCCTTAAATTATTGATACTTGAATCATTAGTCTGTATTGTATCTATAAATAACTATCGAGTATTTAGCTGCTGATTTAAATAGAAGAATTCTGATAATCTGATGGAAGATTCTTGTCCAGGGCATATATCAGGTGTGATGATTTTTGTTGATACAAGTGGACAATCCTTAAGGAAAATGCAAAATTCTGGGGTAAGCTTTTGGTTTTCTCTCTTTTTTATTAATGTGTTTTGTATTCTTCGAAGTTTTCTTTATTAATTTTGGAAAATGCAAAGACAGACATTCAATACAAATCTTGTTATTAAAGTGCTCTTTAAAGTTTTCTTTTATTAATTTTGGAATTTTAAAATATGTTTACAATGGAAAAGCATTGTTCTGCTAATAGAATGGAACATGATAATCAGAAATCATTGCATAAGTCTCCTCTTATTAAGCTTGTTCATATCATTGTGACCGAGAGCTGTTTTTTTTGTGTGTGTGCAGATTTAGTGTTGGGTTTTAAATTGAAGAGCTATTTAAGGTTAATGTTTTACTAAGGACAATTTGAAATAACTACATGTATTTTGTCATAGTTGTTAACATGTAATTTGTCCAAAGAATGATCAAATTGAGCAGTAATCCTGATCCTGGTATACGCTATCCCTCTATCCCGCATTTGGGGTCGATCGCTCCATGCCGTTATCTGGGAATGACAACTCTGATTTGAATATTTTGTGAAATTCTCTTAGCTCTCTCGACCATTAGCAAGGACTAGTCCTTTTGATACACACATTCATAGCATGGCTCTAAACACAAACCATTAGTTACTATCTGGATATCCCATGAATTATCCACATGATTCGAGTTCCCAAGAGGTTGAGTGGATGATAGAAATACACATTATAAATAATAGTTTAGTTCAGCTACTCCTTACTCCCTAACAGATTATTAGTCATTGGTTATATAAGTTGGTTACAAAATTAGCACTAACTGAAAATGTGACATTATGTTTGGAAGCAAAGTTCAAAAGCTTATTGGTACAAATATAATTCCTTTGAAAATCCTTCCATTCACAACCGCGGTAATTAGAAAACCTGAATCAAAGGCTCATCAACTTTTTCGCGAACTGTGTAAACTATGCATAGCAATTGATGCATATCTATCCAGATTATTCATAAATCTTTGATAACATCTCAATCCGGATTATTCATAAATCTTTGATAAGCAATTTACCAGTAAGATATATCCGTGTGTTTGGATAAATTTGTTTGATAAGGTATAAATGTATTTAAAAATACGTATATAAATTTGAAATAAATTATTTAATTATAAAATAAATAATAATATTATAAATTGAATTGTATTAAATAATGATAAAAAAACATATGAGATGGAGAAAGAAAAATTAACATTTAAAAATAATGGTTTTGACTTTTAAATCAAGACAATTGTGATTAAAATAAAATAGATATTGTGTTGATAGTTGTTCTGGACTAAGTCTGTCCTTGGTCCAACTTTCAGTGAGGTCCAATCCAAGTGTGTCAATCTGCACCATTGACCGGTTCTATCCTCGAATACGGCGGGCAGTTACCACCTTTTCCCCATGAGGAGAAAACCTCACCACACGGGGACAACATTCCGAGTAGACTAAGGACGGTCACCTACGATCATGAAGGCTTCGAAGACATCCCGACTAGCTCGTCGACTAAGACTGGTCCCCTCACTCGACCTCGCGTATAGCAGAGATCATTCACGACTGACAGATGCTCAACATCCTCCTCGTAGGACTGACTACCAACGTCTTCCGATATCACGGAGTCTTCGTGACTCCGGAAAGATCGCATCCATATTCTTCTGACCTTGTCAAAGACGTCATCCAGGTAGGAGACCACGTGCGGGTCTCCACTACTCACATAGGACCTGACAGTCTCTACGTTGGGTCTGCTTGACCAGTCCAATATAGACCTTGACCCAGCGCTGGAGGCTATAAATACCCTCTCTTTCGAGAGGGTCAGGTATTCAACACTTTCTTACTCTCACGCTTGCTTGCTCATTCCACAATTTACTTTGGCATCAGAGTGTCTTGCAGGTATTCCCCATCCCACTCTCAACTTCTACTCCAGTTAGCTGTGACGGTCCATTGTGGTTAGGTACGATCAGTAACGGCGTTTGTGGGAAACTTGTTTCCCCGTCTTTCGTTTACACAAGACAAAAGCTAGATCATACTCTTTTCTGACTATCATGACTGATCAAACAACAAAAAATAACATGAATGTCTAATTCACCGATTGTTGTATCTCAAAATTTCCTCTCCTTTTTTACTCAACACATGCCCATTAAGTTCCCCAACTTGCCCAAAGATGACCACGAATTGACCAGACAATTCTCCTAAGGCAATGAATCTCTAACTAGAGTTTCAATTTTCATCAAGATGTGTGAGCTCCAATGGTCTCAAATGTTTGCCATGGTCTTAATATGTCTTCAAGATTATCCATGTCAAATTTCATGCCTTGCACAACAAGTTTGCTCAATCAACTGCTCAAATGCCTAAAAATTAACTGTATTAGGTCAAAAGTCAATTGTGGTCTATATATAGTCAAACTTCAAGATTTTTTGTCATCATCAATATTTTGAAGTGATATCCATTATTTGATCAATGGTTGATCATGATTCCTCATGAAATGCTCCTAATTCATCAAAGGTCAAAAATTGCTAATTAGGGTTTCTATAGGAGAAGTCAATCAAACTTTGACCAGGCATAACTTTCTCATAATTTTTTCCACCAAATATAATTTTGAATA